TCACCTTCCCTCCTTTCTGCCTATGTATGTTTGTTTCTATGTGTGCCTGTATATATTTATACACAAAAAATAATTTTTCATCTCCACATCACATAAGCTCTAATTAAAAACCAAATACACACACATACACACACACACACACACTAGAGAGAGAGAGAGAGAGAGAGAGAGAGAGAGAGGAGAGAGAGAGAGAGAGAGAGAGAGAGAGAGAGAGAGAGAGAGAGAGAGAGAGAGAGAGAGAGAGAGAGAGAGAGAGAGAGAGAAGAGAGAGAGAGAGAGAGAGAGAGAGAGAGAGAGAGAGAGAGAGAGAGAGAGAGAGAGAGAGAGAGAGAGAGAGAGAGAGAGAGAGAGAGAGAGAGAGAGAGAGAGAGAGAGAGAGAGAGAGAGAGAGAGAGAAGAAAGAAGGAAAGAAGGAAAGAAAGAAAAGAAAGAAAGAGAGAGAGAGAGAGAGAGAGGACTGGAGGGCAAACAGAGAGAACCTGTAATGTGTTACAATAAGAATCTTAATAAGCTTAAATGGTCTATAATTGCGCGTTATTGCCCAAGAACATAACAACGCAGCTTTCAAATAGTTCAAAACAAAAGTCAAAAACAGAAAAGAAAAAAAAAAAGAACAAGTATCAAAAAACAAACCAAACCCAACCTCACCTATGATATCCATCGACAACGCAACACAAAAAACACACAAACTAAGAAAAAAAAAACAAATAAGAGAACCCATAAATAAAGTCAAACTCCCCCCACCCCCTCCCACCCCCACGCCACCCACACCATCCTTCACCCACTCAATTAAAATATCTAGTAAACACGTAGACGCACACAACCCTGGGGCGGCATTCTGACATCATTTCGTCACATGTGGCTAGTGAAAACGGTTCCGTACGCGCGAGGTGTGTTAGTACGCCCAAATGCTGTTGCTTTTTGCGTGTGTTATGTTGGGATGTAAGTTGCGGCTGAAGTTCGGATGGAAATTTATTACTGGTGTTGGGTTGTGTTAGGATGAAATTGATCGGAATGTTGTGTTACGTTAGAGGAATATTGCTGTGGATGGTGTGTTATGTTGGGATAAAAATTACTGTTGGTGTGTTATGTTGGTATAAAAATTTCTGTTGGTGTGTTATGCTGGGATAAAAATCACTGTTGGTGTGTTATGTTGGTATAAAAATTACTGTTGATACATTATGTTGGGATAAAAAATTCTGTTGGTGTGTTATGTTGGGATAAAAATTACTGTTGGTGTGTTATGTTGGTATAAAAATTTCTGTTGGTGTGTTATGCTGGGATAAAAATCACTGTTGGTGTGTTATGTTGGTATAAAAATTACTGTTGATACATTATGTTGGGATAAAAAAATTTGTTGGTGTGTTATGTTGGGATAGAAATTACTGTTGTATTATGTTGGGATAAAATCTACTATGATATGTTTCAAACAAATACTACTGATCCTATTTTATGTTGCGATAAAAGTTGTTACTCAGGCTGCGTCATGTTCGGGTGGAAATTACTAAAGACTATGTTGTGTTGTGTTCGACATAAATCACTCTCTATTTATTTATTAGCCACAAAACTGAGAATATTACGTGTACCTTAACTGTTTATTTTAAAAAATATATAATGATACCTAAATAAAAAATAAAGTACCTAAACTTATTCGAAAACAGAGGCGCAAATAAATAGATATAATAAAAAAAGGTAATTCACAATCTCTTTCCAACCTTGAAGACAACACAAAGTACTCAAACATCTCCAAACCGCAGACGCAATGTTGGGTGACAAGAACAATGAAAAATTATAAATAACAATGCCAATGTGTGTGTGTGTGTGTGTGTGTGTGTGTGTGTGTGTGTGTGTGTGTGTGTGTGTGTGTGTGTGTGTGTGTGTGTGTGTGTGTGTGTGTGTGTGTGTGTGTGTGTGTGTGTGTGTGTGTGTTGTTGTGTCTATGCGTACAGACAACAATAACAAAGATAAAAAAACACGATGCAGCGATTTAAATGTTCATAAAGTTCACGCTCCAGAAGAACAAGACTTCTTGAACGCCACACGCCACTACTTCCCTTCAAAGACTCTTGAGCTCAACGACGATCAGATAAGACAAGTAATAAAGGTAGTAATAATAATAATACATTCCCTCGCTCGAGAAGGGGGATTCCGAAAAAAAAGATGGAGATGAAGAGAGAAAGAAGGGAGAGAGCGAGGGAGAGGAGGGAGAAGGAGGGGGGAAGAGAGAGAGAGGAGAGAGGGAGAGAGGGAGAGAGAGAGAGAGAGAGAGAGAGAGAGAGAGACAGGTTGAGAGCAAAAGAGAAACAGATACATGACAAGACTTGCACCAACAGACACATAGTACAGACAGGCAGCAATAGACCGCCGCCATGTACCGAAGCAGCATAGGTACACTACGACAAAAAAGGTTAACGGGATGACGATAGAATTATCTCAAGGCAGCGGCCGCAGCAGCCAAGGTCGCTTAGGTATGTACTTTTTGCTTCAGCGTTACGGTTGG